GACCCTCCTGTCCAGTCCCTTCCCATCTGCTGGTGCAGTGACCTGAGCCCTCCCACCTGGTGCAGTGACCTGAGCCCTCCCATCTGCTGGTGCAGTGACCTGAGCCCTCCCATCTGCTGGTGCAGTGACCTGAGTCCTCCCATCTGCTGGTGCAGTGACCTGAGCCCTCCCATGCTGGTGCAGTGACCTGAGCCCTCCCACCTGCTGGTGCATGACCGAGCCCTCCATCTGCTGGTGCAGTGACCTGAGCCCTCCCATCTGCCAGAGTGGTGACCCTTGTCCCTTGTGACCAGTGTGGTGACCCTTGTCCCTTCTTCTGCTTGAGTAGTGACTTGAATCCTCTATGCCCATTCCACCATCTACCAGAGCAGTGGCCCGACCCTCCTGTCCCCTCCCCTCCCATATGTCAGTGCGGCGACCTGATCTCCCACGTCCCATCCTCTGCCATCTGCCGGAGTGGTGATCTGACCCCTCCTTCTCATGGGTGCCAGCATTGGCAGGTAGGCATGAGAACCAAGCTGGCTTAGGCATGCCGTCGGTTCCCCTGTCGCTGTACCTGTTGCTGTGGTTTAGCACATATCGTTGTTGAAAATATTGGTGTGAGCGGCGGGCAGTGGCGTGGGGAACTGAAAGAGGAAAGGAGTCTCTGAAGTCATCAAAATCAATGAATAATGTGGTTAAACCCTACCAGGTGCATTTCCAATGCTGCCAATGCTAGCTGAGCTCTCAAAGTGCTGGTGCTGCCTGCCAGTCCTCATCGTTTGGCCATTGTCGGCGTGTGCGTTGGGCCGTTTTGTGGTCGACATGCCATCTCTGGACGCGTTTTAGCGGAGGGGAGCGGGGCGGGTTTGACGCGCGCAGCAATAAGTCAGTCGCCCTCCTAGCGGCCGGGTCAAGCAAAGGTGGAAATACGGGCGTTCTCGGCAAAGTAGGTCCCTGCTGTAGCATCAGCCTCAGCCACAGCTGCAGCCACAGCCGCAGGTGTAGCCGCAGGTGTAGGCGCAGGGAAGCCGCAGCTGTAGCCGCAGCTGTAGCCGCAGGCATAGCCGCCCGTGGCAGATGCTGGGAACACGTGACGTAGGAGATACTGGGACACTGGGATGCTGGGACACCACGTAGCACAGAAAACACACGCGAAGTGGCGTCCGGCGAAGTGGATTGCTGCAGTAGGGGTGTTGTGTCCAGTGGTGGCATTCATATGTGGTAGGAAAGCATGTGTTAAGGGAGTAGGGCATGCTTAAAGGAAGTAGGGTGGCGTGCCCCCTTGTGGCATTCAAGACGTGTTGGGATGGCAATGCTGAATGGAATGCTCCACATTTGGAGTGGGGTTTTGAAACTGAGTGGCATCTTGAAGATCATTCATTGCAATTCACAGCCTCACCTTTCCGAAGACTTTAAACCTTTTTGCTTCTAAGCTAGACGCCCGCGAACCTATGCAGACTTCTTCGGACATAGTACTACAAGTTAGCCCAGGCATGCATGCCGCCATAACAATGTCGCGCAAGTACTGCCACCCCATAGTCCATTCAGTGTCAAAGCCCAAGATAAGTGTGATCATCAAGGTATTCGTATCTGGCGTACGTCAGCATCATTTCTACAATCACAATCAGCGGAGTTCAGTTGGCTCGAAAGCAATATTTGGCATTCAGTGCGAGTTTCGGGCACGATTTGGCTTTTTGGTTATTTGATTATAAGAGCCATTTCGACCAAAAATAATCATTGCAGGGCTTTATTAGAGGTGGGATGATGGAAGATGGGTAGCGTTGGAGCGGGACTACGGGCGCCAGGGGGCTATCCGTCAAGTCTTGTTTTGTGCTTCATATTACAAGGCTTTGGACAATAGTGCTAGTTGTGACGGAAATTAGACTGGGAATCGAATGATGTAAGAAAAGCGCCACAACCGAGCATGTGAATGCGAGTGGAAAATGTAAATCATGGATTGATATCCAAGAACACTACGAGAAAAGACCAAAACACACGCGCATCACGACAGTTGGGCTCTGCCAATCACGCGCCGATTGCACACCTCGAGAAATTAAAATTTTACGAGTGGGTTCGCTGAGACAAGAATTTCACGTCGCCAGTTCGGCAGCCCTGTGACGTCATACAAACGTTTGATGACAAGCAAGCGATGTGTATGGAGCATAGTTGCTAAAAGGTGTTTTTTACAACAGTTCTTGTGCACTTAAGGCATGCCAATAGTTATAACTGTGTTTGTTGGCGTCTAAGCTGAGTGTGCCAATAGTTACAAGTTCATCACGTAATGTTTGCCTCGGTATCTTCAAATGTGGCAGATTCCCTTTAAGTTTTGGCAAGGGCGACGGCAATTTCCTGAGATGTGAATGTGCTCTCACCACTTTTGCCCTTTGTTTTCAGTTGTATATGGGAGCGGCGTACAAAATGGACAGGTGGCTTGCTACTGCGTTATTGGTCATTCTCTGCCTGCGGCCAGGTAAGAAATCACTTACAAAACGCGATAGCCCCTTTTTGACAATAGTTTCCTAGGTGGTTGGTTTCAACACCGACACGTTCATTTCGTCGTGTTCTTGGTGTGCTTCTCGAAAGGCCGAAGACGATTTTAACGTCACGTCTGTGATGCGATTCATATGCTTACAAATTGTCTGGAAGGGAACGACATTGGGGGGGGGGGGGGGGGGGGGGAGGAAGGGGGGTCGTTTGCGCGTGTGCGTTGCTTCTCCCTGCTCGTTGTAAAAGACACGACCGGTGCAGGCTGACTGACGCGAACTGGGCGGCACATCACGCTGGTCACGCTGGGAAAACCGGACACCATCTATCCGATTTGTTTGTCGAATGCGTCACGTTTCCATATGGAATTCCCGTTATTTGTTCACTGAGATCAACACCTTGTTAAGCGTTAACATTCGGCTGCCCAGTGTGACCCTGTGCGAGACTTAAGTATACGGAGTGAAACGCGAACCGCAGACAATGCTATGCGGTGCATTGTGCGAAAACACGGGGTCGCCAGAAAACACGTCCATTATTCCGTCAAGGATTGTTTGTCAGCCGGTAGTCGACCTCAGCGTGCAGCCGGATATGCTAGGAACCTATTGTGATGCTGATCCTCGCTATTGTCGAAGAGAAGGGACTTCCTCTACGCAGTGCCAGGTCATCGACGTTTGCGGGATAACATTTTGTTGTTACGATTGTGTCAACGCATTGTTGACACAATCCCGCATCCCGCTCTTCGGTGCCGATGTGTGGCTATCGCCACGTGTTAATCGTCAGTTAGGTTTTATTTCCTCGGGACATCACTGAAGGAAAAGTCCATGCTCAACGAAACATATATCCTTCAGATATTGAAGCACATACCTGTACGCTGGTTCAGTGCATAGTCATGGGAACTCATCTTTAAGTGTTCAGTAAACCGCGGTAGAAACCGGCAGTTAGTCCATACACCTTTCACTTCATTTAAGATGCCTGAGGCCGGCGCAGAAGGGACGCAGAAACATTCAGAAGTCGTGTCGGTTGTAAATGATTGGTCTTCATTTCGCTTATGTCCATGGAGGCCAAAACCAAACTGATAACCGAAGATAACTGAATAAATGGGATTGCGTCATCATATAGTCTGCCCGTTTTACTTAATCCTGGCTTGTGCTCTTTGGTTTGTGGATATTTGTGATGCTGGTTCATGTATGCATATGCCACGTCCTAAGTGTGCTTGG